CCTCCTCTCAATCATGAACATATAACAAGCTTGGACAGTAAAAAACGTATTTACGTAGAAACACCCATATACAAGGTATGAAGCTAAAAGTGTTACGGACTATTATTTCTAAAGAAAACAACAATTTAATATTTTACTTAGTTTTTTCAAAATAATAATCTGTAACCCTTTCAGCTGTACACCTTGTATATATTTTTCAATTTCAGCATAAAACATAATCGCAATATAGCATGATTAATGTTAATAAGTCGTTAAGACTCCTGGTCCCTGAGCCGAGAACTCTGCGTTGACGGTAGCGCCGTACCGTCGTGGCAGAAATAAGAACTCTCTCCTCTCACTCTCTCCAATGGAGAATTCTGTCTTGTGACATGTTGACAACCTTATTTTAAATTGCGGTATATTTCTTTATTATTCGCTCTGTACTTGTGCTCTAACGTTTAACGTATTCGTGAAACTCGTAAAATTGACCGTATGGTAAGATTTGCAAGAAATATATATGCGGAAGGAACATTCACCACTCCTTTCGATAGTCGTCAAACGGCTTACTTGTTTTCCGTATGTTTAGGCTTCGTTTTATGGCTGTTTGTTTATTGTCGAGGGAAAAGGATAGTATCCGGTCAATTTTTAAAGTGTGCTGAAACGATCTGTCGTGATTTTTTATTGAAATGTCTTTTTATTTCGGAAAATACCGCAACTTAAAATTAGGTGTTTTCCTCGCCTCGATAGTAAGAATCCAATATGGCCGCGGTGACTACCCAGGAGCCTTAAGCGAATTTAATCTGTATTATCAGTGCTATCTGACGATTCGTTCCCTTCGACATTTATTATATAAAATTAGGACGTTTTGTCATTTGTCGTATAGCTCTTTCTTCGTACAACATGAGATGTTTTTAAACGTGCGTTTATGTTAATGCTCTAATTGCAACTTATTTAGGAGAACTCCTGTACTGTTTAATAGCCCTTATACCATGGAATTACTAGCTCGATCACTTAGCTTTACAGTTTCACTTGTGTAAGATATACAATGTTGTGGTCGAGCGGGGATAAAACGTTTTGCTCTACTTGCCCCGACGATTCGTCGGGGTATTTTCGGCCGTACCTAAAGTAATAATAATTATAATCTTACATATTTGTTACAAATATTTTTTTATTACATCGAATTGGATCACGTCGAACGCGCGGCAAGCTTTCATGTATATCGTCGACGAAATAGATCCTTTATTACCTGTCGGAGTGGTTTCTCTTTGTTCTCTCATGTCGATCCTAACACTTTTCAAGCAGTATAGTTTAAACCGGGAAGCATCAGCATAGCTAATGAGGCACGACGCTGCTCGTCACGTGAATTTCAAAAGCGCGGACTCGACTGGACTCGACCGTGTGGAAGGCCATCAGACTGATCTTTTGCAGAATTCAGAACGAGACATTATACGATGTCTTATATAAGCTCGAACTCGTCGAACGCAGCGCGCGACGAAACAAAGTTTCGAGCGAGACGTCACGACGCGATAATTCGACGATATTGTTCGCTGAAGTAAGATCTCAAACGACCAATAAGGGTTCGCTTTGAATTACATTGAAATTAACTAGGATTTTAGAGTCCTAGATAAGAATCCCCGATCGTCGCCAAGGTATGTACCCGCATATGCGCTAACAATCTTAAAGAAGGAAAGGAAAATATAAAATATGTTGAGAATGCCATGAAATTTATAATACAAGTTTTATTACAAATAATGATTGCATGCGTCAAATATACCGACGCTTTTTCTTTAATCGTCCAAAACCGCGCGCAGTTCTTCCGAAACCGTACAAGAATCTTTACAAGTGAGTGCAATTTCCATTTTGCAAAAATTAGGCGCCGAAATAAAAACCATTTATATACGTCCGCGGCACTCTCCGAGCTCCACCGATTGCTAACAACAGCGAAAAAAGAAATTTTAATCTGCAAAAGCGACAATCAAGAACTCACAAAGAGATTTTCGTAGAGACATAGCGACGATTCAAGCTTGTCGAGAAAGAGTATACTTCTGTGCTTGAAGAAGCTGGAATATTATTTATCATGGTAAAAAACGCCGAAGCAGGAATCTTGTATAAATGCAAAGTTTTGTTATTTATTAATTATACTGTACATTGTGCTGTCATTTATTAAAATAAAAAGTAATATTCTATTAATATGTCATTTAGATCCTAATTAATTATTCACGTTTAATTCTCTTAATCGAATGTTCTATATTATCAGTGCTTTGACACGATCCGTTCCTTTCGATGTCTCTCTTGAGTTTGCCCTCTTGAGTTTCCGCAGCAGCTTCTAAAACACGGGAAGCCAATTCCTTGAACTCCTTGTTTTGCACGGTGTCATTATCGCTCAATTCCCTCACTCGTTTTATTATTGTATCTGTTTTGATGAGTTTTGCAGCGACGTCTTTCGCATTTTTCATCATATTTAACGCAATTTTGGTACCTTTATGTTGTAATTCATCGTTTGGATCATTGAGTAAAAAAGGTAGAAATGTCGGCCAAAGATCCCAGCCGAGTAATTTTTCGCAAGTCTCTTTGCCGGCTGCCGTTAGCGTTGCTAACGTTCCAGCTAATGCCTTCTTTGTATGGTCATCTGTGTCATCCTTCACCAACCAATTCATAAGATCAAAAAGGTGATCAGATCTCTGCTCAACAAATTGAATGGCAACTTTATGGGCTAATACCAAATTGTTTATGAGTTGTATGTACGTTCGTTTCAACATGTTGTTATCTTCACGCATACATTGCTCAATTTTCTCACATTCTGTCTTGAAAATATGTTCTCGCATGCTGTCGTTGACACTAGCTAGATTGCACAAAGCTGTTAGAGCATCGCATCTCTCATTAACGGAACGCTCCGGGTTCAAAAGATTTGGGATCAGCTGTACAACCTCCATGATTATCTGACCGGGAAATGTAACCTCAGGAAGTGTCGTGAGTGCTAGATAGACCAGGGCTCGTGTAGCATCTATCTTTCCTATGTTTGTGCTATTCAGCGCTAACGACAATAATGTCTTCGTGCCGCCTTCTTGAACAACTATATTTCTCAAATCCTGTTCACTGCATATCGCGTTGAAAACGCGGGCTATTAATTTCTTGCTATTCTCGCTGCCTATTTTAGCGAGGCTCACCAAAGCGCTGGTCACGCCGGCCTTCGCTAACACGCGCCGTCTTTTTCGCACGAAGCTGTCCTCGGCCAGTATTTGATTCTCAAGATCAAAATAATTGACAAACATTTCTCTCTCAAGTGGGAGATCATAATTGTCATAAGCGGTGCACAAGTTCACCAATAATACGTCCACTTGGTAAAGAACCGATTGATTTTCTGCAGCCTTTGCAAACTCGATTATCGCTTGAACGGCATGTTGGTCTCGGATCAAATCCTCTTTGACCCCGAGGTCGAAAGTGAGATACGACAGACCTTCAACGGCCCATTTTTTCATATCTTTCTGAAGATTGGTCAAGAATCGTCTGCAAACTTTCAGCCATGTATCTGTCTGTTTCTTATCGAACATAAGAACAGCCTGCAATTCTTCTTCCAACACTTTGAATTTGGTCATCTTACAAATACCCACAAAAGCTCGAATCCGAATTGAATCTTTCAGGTGCTCAGAATCATGCGAGCTCTCAGAATTAACCAGGTTCATAGAATTATCCAGATTTTCAGAATCATCCGGGTCCTTAGAATTATCCAAGTTTTCAGAATTGTCCAGATCCGCAGAATCATCCGGGTCCTCAGAATCATTCGGGGCAAGATGACACAAATCCCGCAATATAGTGAAACATCGACGTATGAACGTGTTGAATTCGTCATATTTGGTTACAACGGCATAAATAAATTCGCAAATCATTTTTTTAATCAATAAGTCATTTCTTTTCTCTCCCAAAAAATAAAAAATCATATCATCAAATCCGTTTTCAGTAATAATTGCGTTTGCAACATTAAACGGACCGAGTGTTACGATTGTCATCGCAACTATTGCACGCATCTGTAAAACAAACAATTAACAATTTATGAATGTTTACAATTTGTGAAACAATAATTTTTTTTTTAATCAAGACAGTTTCAGTGTTATTAAACTTTGATTGAAAATAGAAGAAATCTCTAATTAAGAGTAAATTAAGCTTCAGAAAATACGATAAATGAAAGTCATTCTCCAATAAATTTTGATTAAACTCTGTTATTATCATAATTTAATTTGAAACATATTGAATATACAATATCCACAATTTCTCAAATATACTATAGTTGAAAATATGCTCCTTTCATTTTAAAACAATTTAAGTCGTCGGGAAAGATCGAAAGTTACAAAATTCATACATGACATCCTACGTCAGTCGTCTGCAATTCTTCTCTAATAAATTCATTAATAATGTCGAAAAATTCTTCCTTATCATTTTCATCCAAGTTTTCATCGATTTTTGCTAAACACACGCTGGTTATAGTTTGCGTGGAAGACGTATAATCCAACGAATTGCAATATTCGTTTTGGCATTGACAGGCTACCTCCATTAATATTTCCAAACCACTAAACTCGAGCAATTGTTTGGCCCAGTGTAATGCAGTATAATGAATGTTACGCATAATAAATTTTATTAATGCGTCTCTAGCAATGCCTGTTGTTGTTTCATTTCCTATTTTATCCAACAAGCACGACAGAATCCTGTCAATTTCTTTTTTATGCATCATGCACAAAGCCTCGTCGGGTATTGAATCGGGTTCATCGTTTAAGCCGCTGTAAGTTTTCAATATAGTCTGAAACATAATTATAAACGATAAATCAATTAGTGAAATACGTGTATGCTACCTACATTCTAGTCAATAATATTTACCTGTAAACAATATTGAGATGCATCGATTCTCCTTGTAAATGCGCTGTTCATCATTTCCAGACACCAAGGCAAAACGTCTGCCACAATGGAATCGACTTCCAGAGCATCTAACGGGCTGAATATTAAGGTTGTTATCGCAAGTACAATGCGCACCTGTAAAATAATCAATTAACAATTTGTAAATTATTGCTTGAAACAATATTTGATTTAAAAGAATCAAGATAGCTACAAAGTTATTTAATATTTAATATTAATAAAAAATAGAAGAAATTTCTGATAAATTATGCTTTATAAAATACGATAAATGGCAAAGTCATATTCTTCAATAAATTTTGATTAAATTTTGTTATAATCATATTTTAATTTATGTTATATACAGAGTATACAATATCGACAATTGAAAATGAAACCTTCTTTGACATTTCTTCTTTTAAATAGAGTTTAAATTTCTCAAGTATATGTTATTGTTAAGGAGATATTCGCTTCTTTTTATTTTAAAACAATTTAAATAATTAGAAAAAACCTGAAATTACAAAATTCTTACCTTGAATTCTGTGTCAAATTTAGGCAATTTATCTCCAATAAATTCGTCAATGGCGTTGATAAATATTTTCTTATCATCATTGCATATCATCTTTTCATACACTTCTGTTAAGTACATACTAATTAGAGTTTGCGTGGAAGAAGTGATGTCGATTGAGATTTTGTTTTTAAATTTCACCATTTCACTGGCCATTTCCATTAATTTTTGCAAACCGCGAAGTTCGACCAATCGTTTTGCCCAATCTAACGCAGTATAATGAATGTTACGCGTAATAAATTTTATTAATGTGTCTTTAGTAATGCCTGTTGCGATTTTATTCCCTATTTTACCCAACAAGCATGACAGAATCTTGTCAATACTTTCTTATGCTTCTTGCTCAAAGTCTCGTCAGGTTTTGAATCAGTTTCATCATTCATGCCGCTGTTCAATACATTCTGAAACCGAGAATTACACAATAAATCAATTACTGCAAATACATATGTGTTATAATTACATTCTAATCGATAATATTTACCAGTAAACAATATTCAGATGCGTTGACTCTCTCCGTAAACGTGCTGTTCATCATTTCCAGACACCAAGGCAAAACTGCGTTTATTATAGCAGACTTACAATTAGTTCGACTAACATTGTCTTCATTGCATGATTCGCCTACAATACGAATCGCGCTACAGATCACTTTATCGTTCTCTCCCACTTCCTTTATGAAGATCTCGTAAGCAGTTCTCCAACGTGCAAGTATATATAAGCAGAGTAATCATGGCGTTTTGACGTTTCTCCTTATCTGCTCTCACGTTAAATGCAAAATTCATCATTTGGGATACCTAATGCAAAATTAAGCGTATATTTGAATATAATTATCTGTAATAAGGATATAAATTAACTGTGAAAGATTATAATTGTATGACGTAATATTTAGGTACCTATATATAGTGTGTAGATTATTAATCGATAAGAAAATATAATTAAATAATAAGAGAGACAAAAACTCATATTCGTTTATCAAATTATATGTGATATTAAGTGAAATAAGAACTCTTATTAAAATATATTGAATATAAAGAACGTGTTATGATTTTGATATTATCTAAACCAAATTACCGTACGTGTCTTGCAAGTTAATAAATTTTTGTAGTTATATATATATCTTGGCATTAATACTTGCTTTGTTTTTAATACGTTTGTCTGGAATTTTACAAAATTGTTTTGTTATGTGTTGAGGTAGCGTATCATTTAAGCAAGATGTGCCATTTGAGTAAGATGAAATAATAATCTCCATGTTCTGATATACCTGCTCGAATTTCTTTAACTCTATTAATGCAAAAAGTCTGCGAATCAATGTTATGCGAAAGTTATGATATATTTTTAACTTTAACACACTGTTGCAATCTTCAATCTCTTTGTCGTAATCGTTATGCTCAAAATATGCGGCAGCTCGATTATCAATTAATATTTATTTAATTTCAGCTATACAAAGCCATGAAATGGACTTGGTTTACAATATACCTTAAACACACTCATACCAACTTTTTTACCTTAACGCGTGACATTGTTAATTCCTTATTCCGTATTTTTTAATTTCTTCTAGAAAAACCATCCTTTAATTAAACCCCAACACGCCTAAACCTATTATTTACACGTTAAACTCACAACCTAAACTCAGAAATACTTGACTTAGTCCGCTTCGGCAGTATCAAGCCAAGAAATTACGGACATTATTCACCTATACACATACACATACCTTCTAACCGCAACGCGCAACAACTAATATTCCCTATATTTTTTAAATTCTTCCCAATCTATTTTAGACGCATATCTCGCTTTGTTTCTAAAATAACCTTCCTTACATCCTACTTTTTCTTTATCCCTACCTTTACCTTAATATTACAACTATTTCCTGTTTTTTAACCATATCTTAATATATTAATAATTCTTTACCTTTACCTTCAAATATTGACGCAACTCTCTCATCTTACAATACATATAATAAACTTATGACTAATAACAAATCTCTTGCTACCTAACTAATGCTATCCTATATCCCCAAGTCCTTCCAAACTCATCACACCTCCCTATATATGCCCTTGCCTCCTCTTTTTTCTTCTTCCAATAGCATCACTTCTGTGCTCTCGAATCGCTCCGTTCCTCTTCATTATTTGCCAAAATCCTCTACACTGCTTCTCATTCGGTCCTAGTAAATTTCCTAGCAAATTTCCTCCCAGCTCTTCTTCTCTCGTTCTCACCGAAGCAACATATATTTCCTCCTCGCACGTTCGTTCTCTAGTTATCTTCCCATGCCTCCTATCTACCGTTGCATAATTAATATACCTGGATTCGCCTCCGTGCCATTCAAAGATTCTAATATTTCCAGAAAACTGCTGCGTCCTTTAAACAAGCCTTGCGTGTCCACCTTCTTTTACCTTTCCTTTCCTACAACGCAGACAAGTTTCGCCAGTCCTTGTTCCAGGAATACGCCAATAGCTTTCCTGTACCTTTCTTCTTTTCATCTCATCTCTTCTTTATCGTTGGCTTAACCTTTCCTCAGCTATGCTTATCTTCTTTTACTTTCCATTTCCTGGAACACCTCTAGGCCCGCCCATCCTTGTGTCCTAGCTTTATTTCACCTTTCTTCTTTTCATCTCCATTGACACGGAACTCGAGAGATTTTTGACTGCTTGACTTTCTTCTTCCTTCTTCGACAATCCTCTTCACATTTAATCCTCCCTTGTTTCGTATAGCCTCTTCTATGACAACGCTTCTTTCACCTACCTCTTGTCCTCTCCTCTGTTTTCTGTCCTTTACCTCTTTTTCCTTTTCTTATTCTTGATCCAATATTTCCTATTCTAAAATTTGTCCCAATCTAAGATTCACATGTGTTCTGAGTTCAGAGTTCAACCTGTCATCTTTTCAACTATCTTCTTAACCTATACTTAATTCACGACCGAAGGCTCCTTAGCTAATCATTTACCATACAATCTTCTTTACAATCGATCGAAACCTTCCCTACTTTACCTACATACCTTTCCCGCCTATACCGCCTAACTGACTCGTCACCATAACCTCATCCTACCACGGTCTCTAAATACTTTTATATAACTTTTCTCTACATGCGTCCTACTATCTCCCTTCATTCTCATCGCATCCCCTGCTTATACCCTATCTTTCCAATATTCCTACTTGCCCCATACTAATCTTTAAACCCAGAAACAAAGCTAAAATCACACAACGCACTTTCACCGCTACCATTCACACACGCTCCCTCTAACCAAGTCCCGGCAGCTCGATTATCGTAATACAATCCCTTCTCAGTGTCGTCTGTTGCTAGTTCAATTGCCTTTGTGTAGTGACTTATGGCTTTAGACCACCTTTCGTGGATGAACTCTTTACCACCCTTCTTATTCCATTCCTGTGCAGTCATATCTGATTCTGCCATGATGGAATAATGCTATAACACAAAATATATGATGTTGCAATGTGTTTTAACATGGAAAAACTCTCTGTGACGTTTTATACATATTATTTTGAATGCGAAAAGCATGCACAGATTACGAACTTATTACAAAATAATTACATGTATGTATGAGACACTAATGGGTCAAAAATAAATTTACAGGTTAATAATAACATTGCATTTTTTAAATGTAAAACCTGCATATAAATTGTAATCGATTGTTGCAATAATTTTTATAATAAAAAGCTAACTTGCATGCTAGTATTGGAAGACAGGTTTATTTTCGGTAAATTATATTTGACACAAATATAGGAGCATTAAAATTAAATAATGATACACTGAATAATATTATCGATTTACTGATCGAAATTTAATTATTATTATCGATCGAAACAGTTCGGGTTTGGATCAATAACGATTTATGACATTACACGTAGATATTTCAATTTGTTCTAACGCGAAAAATGCAATTATTACATTTCGCTGCACTAGTCAAGGGCAATTTATACTCTTCCTTTTCACGAGTCAATTAAAAATTTAAATTTTTCGAGAAAAGCATGTCTACCCAGCGAGAAATAACCCATCGAATCCCATCGAATCGATTTCTAATCAACGTCGAAATCATGATTTGGCTGGGTAGGCTAAACATGCAATTTATTTGAGACTCGCGAGAAATTCAATGGTGTGAGATTAAATCTCGTTCCATCGATTTTTTGTTTATTTTATATTTCGGTATTTAACGTCAACCGAATGGTTGTTTTTCGGTTTTTTTTTTGACACATCCAGTTCTTTAGTCTGTTCAAACCAGTTTGAACGTGTTTCGTACATACAGATCGTCACAATGATCGGTTGCATGAGGATAGCATAAAGAAAATATAGACTCGAGTAACAAGGACTTATTTAGATTCGTGATGGGTCACATTTGCAATGTTTTATGATGAGATAAATATTACAATTACAGTACACGAAAGTTAATTTTTTAGTTACATGAAATAAAAGAAACATTAATATAATTTATTATAAAATTAGGATGTTTTGTTATACGTCGCCTCTCTTTCTCCGTATAACATGAGATATTTCTAAACGTTACTCTCAGAAGATCTTGTGTACTATGTTGAATAGCCCTACAATGTAAATACTGGCTGGTTTGGTTTTATCGTTTCACTTGAATAAGATATACAATAGCGTAATCCAGCGGGGATGAAACGTACGTTTTGTTCTACTTGCCTCAACGATTCGTCGAGGTATTTTCGGGCGAAATGTAGTAATCTCACGTTGGTTACAAATACTTTTATTACATCGAATTAGATTAAGTCGCACGCTGCAAGCTTTTATTCAGATGATCGCGGCAAAACAGAACAGAATGTAGATTCTTTACCTGACCCACAGCTTTTTCTCGGTTCTCTCGTGTCGCTCGAGCCCTCAAACTTTCTGTGCTCGCTCTATGTTTACGATCCTAGGACTTTTCAAGGAGTAATTGAAACCGACAAGCATTATCCAAAATAAGCACCGTGTGCCGTCTCGTTGGAATAGAATTTCATTCGGATTGGCTGTTATTAGCCATGTGACCTTTCGCTGCGCGTCACGTGACTTTCGAAAGCGCGGATTCGAACACGCGTAAAGCCGTCAGATTTTTCGCAGAATTCAGGATGAGACATTGGATCAGTTTTCTATTGCTGAACTGGCTGCACTAGTTCAGCGTTTATCCCTTTCTTTCCAAGGTGAAGTACAAAAAAAAATCTCCGAACTCATGCAGCCACTTCAGCAATAGAAAAAGTTCAGCAGAGCTTTATTACAGCGATAAGCCCGAACTCTTTGAACGCAGCGTATGACACTTTAACGTGTCGAACGTGATGTACGCTTCCCGGTATATTGCGCTTTACATTGGAGATTATTTGAACTGTGACGAATAGGCTGCTCAAGTTTCTTTTTTATTTTCTGTGGAAACATGAGAATTCAGAAACAATGAAATCTTTAAAGATGCGGATTTGGGCTTTGAATCCGTTACAGAAAACATAAAGTGTCAGTAGCTTGTACACGTATATAATAATATAAATATATACATTATAATATATTATTATTAAATATATACGTAGGTTGATTGGTTGCTGCAAGATGAACAATGTTTAGCGGTGCTAAGAGAAGCGCTTCCATTTTGCAAGAATCAGGCGCTGAAATAAAAATTGTATACCTAACGTTCGCGACACTCTCCGAGCTCCACCGTTGCTAGCAGCAGCGAAGAAAGAAATTTTAACCTGCAAGAGTGGCAATCAAAAATTCACAAAGAGATTTTCGCAGAGATATAGCGACGATCCAAGCCTGTCGAGAAAGAGTATACTTCTGTGCTTGAAGAAGCTGGAATATTATTTATCATAGGTAAAAAGCGTCGAGACAGAAGTCTTGTAATTGCAAAGTTTCGTTATTTATTAATTATACTGTACATTGTGCTGTCATTTATTAAAATAAAAAAATAATATTCTATTAATATGTCATTTAGATCCGAATTAATTATCGAATTTAATCTGTATTATCAGTGCTATTTGACGATTTGTTTCCTTCGACATTTATTTCGATTATGTCCCATTTCGCAGCAGCCTCTAGAACAAGGGATGCTAATTCCTTGATTTTCTTGTTTTGCATGGTGTCATTCTTGCTCAATGCCTTCACTTGTTCCATTATTGTATCCATTTCAATGAGTTTTTCAGCGATGTCTTTCGAACTTCTCATCATATTTAATGCAATTTCGGTACCCCCATATTTTAAGTCGTCGTCTTTATTATCGAGTAAAGAAGATAAGAATTTCAGGCAAAATTTCTAGTCGATTAATTTTTTGCAAGCCACTTCGCTGGCTGCCGTTAGCGTTACTAATGTGTCAGTTGCTGCCTTCTTTATATGTTTATCTTCGCCTTCCTTCACGGACAAAAGCATAAAATACCAAAGTTGATGAGATCTCTGCTCAACAAATTGAATAGCAACTTCACGGTATGATACCAAATTGTTTATGAGTTGTATGGACGTTTGCTGCAATTTTTTATCGTCATCATGCGTACAGTGCTCGATTATTCTCTCAACATCTGTCTTGAATATACATTTTCGCATGCTGTTGTTGACACTAGCTAGATTGTACAAAACTGTTAGAGTGTCGTGTTTCTCATTATCGGAATACTTCGGTTTGTTATTCTTGTCAACGTGATATTTACAGATTTTTAGGAAATTTAAAATTGGCCGAACAACCTTCATGATCATCTAATGATCAGGAAATGCAATCTCAAAAGGTAGCGTGAGTGCGAGATAAAACAGGGCTTGCGAAGCATAATCCTTTCCCTTGTCTGTGCCATCCAGCGTTAACGACAACAATGTCTCTGTACCGCCTTCATCAACAACAATTATTCTCAATTCCTCTTGACTGCATATCGCGTTGAAAACACGGGCTATCAATTCCTTGCTATTCGGGCTGTCCATTTTAGCGAGGCTGACCAAAGCGCTGATCACACCGGCCATCGCTAACACGCGCCGTCTTTCTTCCACGAAGTTGTCCTCGGCCAAGTATTTGATTTTTAACATCAAAATAATTGACAAACATTTCCATCTTAGGTATGAGATCTTCCTTGTCATAAGCGCTGCACAAGTTCACCAACAATACGTCCACTTGGTAAAGAACCGATTGATTTTCTGCAGCCTTGGCGAACGCGATTATCGCATGAACGGCTTCTCGGCGGTCTTTGATCAACTCCTTTTTGATCCTGATGTTGAAAGTGAGATACGACAGACCTTCAACGGCTCATTTTTTCATATCTCTCTGAGGACTGATCAAGAATTGTTTGCAAACTTTCATCCATGTCTTTATCTCGCTGCCGAACATTTTGACAGTCCAGAAATTTCCTTTCCACTCTTCGAATTTGGTCATCTTGCAAATACCCACAAACGCTTTAACTCGAATTGAATCATCCAGGTCCTGAGAATAACACAGATCCTATAATATATAGTTGAACTTGGACCTATGATTTCTCGACCGACGTACATATTGGATTCGTTATATTTGGATACAACGGCATATATAAATTCGCAAATCACTTTTTGTAGCAATGAGTCATTCTCATTCCAAAAATCCACAATTATAACATCAAATCCGTTTTCAGCAATAATATTTTTTGCAATATTAAACGGGCCGAGTGTTAAGGTTGTCATCGTAACGATTGTACGCACCTGTAAAAAAAGAGATTAACAATTTATGAATTTTTACGTTTTGTGAAACAACAATTTTTTTTTTTACCGAAAAAGTACATTTTTATTCCGCCAACAAATAATTAACAATTAAAATTCTTGAATCGACTGCAATTGGCAAACATCTCCTATTTGACAATTCGACGATTGATTTTCGTCAGATTAATCGTCAAAACATTTTGACCATGGGTTTTGGTCCTTCTGAACTGATGTAATTTTGAAGCTTATATATAAGCATCGCATTTAAATAAGTTAAATTATTGCGAAAAACCTTGGCTGAGGGCTGAGGTAATATTTTTAGCAATAAATTAAATTATTTAAATACGATGCTTATATATAAGCTTCAAAATTACATCAATTTAAAAAGACCAAAATCCATAGTCAAAATGTATTGACGATTAATCTGACCAAAACCGTAATGGTCAAATTGTCAAGGAGATGTTTGCCAATTGCAGTCGATTCAAGACTTTTTATTGTTATTCCTTTTTAATTAAGACAGTTTTAGTGTCGTTATTAAACTTTGATTAAAAATAGGAAAAATCTCTAATTAAGAGTAAATTAAGCTTCAGAAAATACGATTGATAAAAAAGTTGTTCGTCAATAAATTTCGATTAAACTTTTTTATAATCATATATTAACTTAAAACTACTATAATTAAAAATATGCTACTTTTATTTTAAAACAATTTAAGTCATCGGGAAAGATCGAAAGTTACAAAATTCATACATGACTTGCTACTTCAGGCGAATTCAATTCTTCTTTAATAAATTTATTAATGATGTTGAAAAATTTGTTAGCATCATCATTCCACAAGTTTTCATCAATTTTTGCTAAACACAGGCTGGTTATAGTTTGCGTGGAAGACGTAATATCCAACAAATTGCAATATTTGCATTGGCCTATTTCCACTTGACTAGCTATCTCCATTAATTTTTGCAAACCGCCAAACTCGACCAACTGTTTGGCCCAGCCTATTATAACGCAGTATAATTAATATTGCGCGTAATAAATTCTATTAATGCGTCTCTAGCAATGCCTGTTGTCTTTTCATTTTCTATTTTATCCAACAAGCACGACAGAATCGTGTCAATTTCTTTTTTATGCACCATGCACAATGTCTCGTTGGGTTTTGAATCGGGTTCTTCGTTCATGCCGCTGTAAGTGTTTAATATAGTCTAAAACCGTATTACACATTAAATTAATTACTGAAATACGTGTACGCTAACTAGTCGATAATATTTACCTGTAAACAATACTGAGATGCGTTGACTCTCTCTGTACATGTGCTGTGCATCATTTCCAGACACCATGGCAAAACATCTGTCATAATGAACTCGACTTTCATAACATCTAACGGGCTGAATATTAAGGTTGTTATCGCAAGTACTATGCGCACCTGTAAAACAATCAATCAACAATTTGTGAATTATTGCTTGAAATAATATTTAATTTAAAAGAATCAAGATAGCTACAAAGTTATTTAATATTTAATATTGATGGAAAATAAAAGAAATCTCTGATAAATTATGCTTTATAAAATACGATAAATGGCAAAGTCATATTCTTCAATAAATTTTGATTAAACTCTGTTATAATCATATTTTAATTTATGTTATGTACAGAGTATACAATATCGACAATTAAAAATGAAATCTTTTTTGACATTTCTTCTTTTAAATAGAGTTTAAATTTCTCAAGTATATGTTATATTCGCCCCTTTTTATTTTAAAGCAATTTAAATAATTAGAAAAAACCTGAAATTACAAAATTCATACCTTGCATTCTGTGTCAGATTTAGGCAATTTATCTCCAATAAATTCGTCAATGGCGTTGATAAATGTTTTCTTATCATCATCATTGCATATCATCTTTTCATACATTTCTGTTAAGTACATACTAATTGGAGTTTGCGTGGAAGAAGTGATGTCGATTGAGATTTTGTTTTCAAATTTCACCATTTCACTGGCCACTCCATTAATTTTTGCAAACCGCGAAGCTCGACCAATCGTTCGGCCCAATCTAACGCAGTATAATGAATGTTACGCGTAATAAATTCTATTAATGTGTCTTTATTAGCAATGCTTGTTGCCGTTTCATATCCTATTTTACCCAACAAGCATGACAGAATTTTGTCAATTACTTTCTTATGTTTCTTGGTCAAAGTCTCGTCGGGTTTTGAATTGGGTTCATCGTTCATGCCGCTGATCAATACATTCTGAAACCGAGAATTACACAATAAATTAATTACTGCAAATACATGTATGTTATAATTATATTCTAGTCGATAATATTTACCAGTAAACAATATTCAGATGCGTTGACTCTCTCCGTAAACGTGCTGTTCATCATTTCCAGACACCAAGGCAAAACTGCGTTTATCATAGCAAACTTAGTTCGACTACCATTGTTCTTGCATGACTCGTCTACAATACGAATCGCGCTACAGATCACATTATCGTTCTTTTCCACTTCCTTTATGAAGATCTCGTAAGCAGTTCTCCAACGTGCAAGTATAAGCAGAGTAATCATGGCGTTTTGACGTTTCTCCTGATCTGCGCTCACGTTAAATGCTAGATTCATCATTTGAGATACCTAATGCAAAATAAAATTAAGCGTATATTTGAATATAATGATCTGTAATGAGGATATAAATTAACTGTGAAAGATTATAATTGTATGACGTAATATTTAGGTACCCATATATAGTGTGTAGATTATTAATCGATAAGAAAAAATAATTATAATAAGAGAGACAAGAACTCATATTTGTTTGTCAAATCATATGTGATATTAAGTGAAATAAGAACTCTTAATAAAATATATTGAATATAAAGAATGTGTTATGATCTAGACCAAATTAACTTGCAAGATAATAAATTTTTGTAGTTATGTATATGTATCTTGGCATTAATACTTGCTTTGTTTTTAATATGTTCGTCTGAAATTTCACAAAATTGCTCCGTTATATGCTGAGGTAGCGTATCATTTGAGCAAGATGAAATAATATAATCTCCACGTTCTGATATGCCTGCTCGAATTTCTCTAACTCTATTAATGCAAAAAGTCTGGGAATCAATGTTATGCGAAAGTTATGATATATTTTTAACTTTAAACACACTGTTGCAATCTCTAATCACTTTGTCGTAATCGTCATGCTCAAAGTATGCGGCAGCTTGATTATCGTAATACAATCCCTTCTCAGTGTCGTCTGTTGTTAGTTCAATTGCCTTTGTGTAGTGACTTATGGCTTTAGACCACCTTTCGTGGATGAACTCTTTACCACCCTTCTTATTCCATTCCTGTGCAGTCATATCTGATTCTGCTATGATGGAATCAAGAGACACGGTAGTGTCTCGCGCCAAGTACACGCGGAGCGAGACCGACCGTGACTCTTTTACGCGACGCGACGGGTTGCGAGTACCCGAGATGTTGAGATCTCGATAACGAGTGAACGGATCAAGTTCTAAGTAGGCTTGATCGATAGCTTGGGGTCCAATTAGGGGGGGGGGGTTCTCTCATAATATTTCGCTACGTGCCCTACGAGCGGAGATATTGCGACGCAAAGTCCAAATGGGAAAATTTATTTTTAAGATACTCCTCCTAACGCCGACGTCTCAATATTATTATGATTATCAGAGAAACGTCCCTTTCACTTTTTCGACGCTGGCGGCGCAGGTATCGCCAGTTTCGATATCGCGCGCGTATTTCAAAATTAGGTCGATAGACTTATCGGTCAGGAGGAAGATTTCTATTTAGGTAAATTAGGTAATATATAATATATATTGAGTCAACGGAAAAGAAGGTTCTCTACGCTTGGCAGAAAGTGCCGCTAGGGAATTTTTAAGTCGATTCTTATGAATCAAGCTTGATATAATATATATTTATTAAGTCAACGGAAAAGAAGGTTCTCTACGCTTGGCAGAAAGTGCCGCTAGGGAATTTTTAAGTCGATTCTTATGAATCAAGCTTGAATTCGATGTTTAGGTATCTCAGGTTGCCGATGACAAGGTCCAGATAGTGCGCTTCATAGTTTTCGGTGTCCAGGTGTAATAATACGTTGAATTCGATGTCTACGTGTCCCAGGTTGCCGATGACGAGGTCCACATAGTGCGCTCCGTAGTTTTCGGTGTCTACGTGTATTAATACCTTGAATTCGATGTCCACGTGTCCCAGGTTGCCGATGACAAGATCCAGATAGTGCGCTTCATAGTTTTCGGTGTCCAGGTGTAATCGTACGTTGAATTCGATGTCTAAGTGTCCCAGGTTGCCGATGACGAGGTCCACATAGTGCGCTCCGTAGTTTTCGGTGTCTACGTGTATTAATACCTCGAATTTGATATCTATGTGTCCTACATTCAGATTTAAAGTTATTAATACACCTAGACACCAAAAACTACAAAGCGCACTATGTGGACCTCGTCATCGAAAACGTGGGACACCTAGACATCGAATTCAACGTATTATTATACCTGGACACCGAAAACTATAGAGCGCACTATCTGGAACCCGACATCAGCAACCTGGAACACGTGGACATCGAATTCAAGGTATTAATACACCTGAATACCGAAAACTATGAAGCGCACTATGTGAACCTCGTCATCGGCAACCTGGGACACCTAGACATCGAATTCAAGCTTGATTCATAAGAATCGACTTAAAAATTCCCTAGCGGCAGAATCAAGAGACACGGTAGTGTCTCGCGCCAAGTACACGCGGAGCGAGACCGACCGTGACTTTTTTACGCGACGCGACGGGTTGCGAGTACCCGAGATGTTGAGATCTCAATAACGAGTGAACGGATCAAGTTCTAAGTAGGCTTGATCGATAGCTTGGGGTCTAATTGGGGGGGGGGGTTCTCTTATAATATCCCGCTCCGTGCCCTACGAGCGGAGATATTTCGACGCAAAGTCCAAATGTGAAAATTTTTTATTAAGATACTTCTTCTTCTATCTACTTCTAACGCCGACGTCTTATATGACACTACAAAAAGGCGTGATATCCGTACAAAATTACCTTTTCCAAAAAAAGGTAAAAAAATGCGCCAAGTACACGCATAGTAGTACATATGTATTATGTTGTTACCTCGAAAAAAACAAAGTGGTAGTATTATACCTCGAAATAACACCCTGTACATATTGTTTATACAATGCGTAATACTGCAAAAAGGCGTGATATCTGTACAAAATTACCTTTTTTAAAAAAAAGGTAAAGAAAGGCGCCAAGTACACGCATAGTAGTGTATATGTTGTTACCTCGAAAAAAAAACAGTGGTAGTATTATACCTTAAAAAAATCTGAGTAACAAGTGGTAGACGAAATCTTTGTATCTTGAAAAATCTCGAAAAAACCTAAACAGTAGTATCTTCACCTCGAAAAAAAAAAACAAAGTAGTAGTATTATACCTCGAAAAAACCTAAGTAACAGGTGGTGGACGTAATCTTTGTATCTCCAAAAATCTCGAAAAAACCTAAGCAGTATTATTTTTATTTCCAAAAAATTATTACTCAAGTGATACACATCACAAAATTACGTTACCTTATCAAAAAAAGAGTCGCACTTCAAGTGATCTATTATTACAATTACAAAAAAGAAATGATATCTTTTTTTAAATTACAGCGCCAATTACAGAGAACATATATTTTTCGAGATACAAAGATTACGTCTACCACTTGTTACTTAGGTTTTTTCGAGGTATAATATTACTACTGCTTTTCTTCGATTAGAATAAAAAATTGAATCATGAAGAATTACACAGAGGTAACAGTACAAAATACAAATATTTTATTAAAATATTTAAACCCAACAAGGGAATACAAGGTATTTAAATACAAAGTTTATATATGTATTTTAAAAGATTTAAT